GGTCACTCTCCCTGAGCCGTGAGCTTTAATCATACCTCTGCTTAAAGCTATGTATGGATCCTGCCTCCACTACATCGCTTCCCAAACTATTCCACTTACTGACTACTCTGTGGCTGAAGAAATACTTCCTAACATCCCTGTGATTCATCTGTGTCTTCAGCTTCCAACTGTGTCCCCTTGTTACTGTGTCCAATCTCTGGAACATCCTGTCTTTGTCACCTTTTCATTCCTCTCAGTATTTTGTATGTCGTTTATCATGTCCCCCTATCTCTCCTGTCCTCCAGTGTCGTCAGGTTGATTTCCCTTAACCTCTCCTCGTAGGACATACCTCTTAGCTCTGGGACTAGTCTTGTTGCAAACCTTTGCACTTTCTCTAGTTTCTTTACGTGCTTGGCTAGGTGTGGGTTCCAAACTGGTGCCGCATACTCCAATATGGGCCTAACGTATACGGTGTACAGGGTCCTGAACGATTTCTATTAAGATGTCGGAATGCTGTTCTGAGGTTTGCTAGGCGCCATATGCTGCAGCAGTTATTTGGTTGAGTGCGCTTCAGGAGATGTGCCTGGTGTTATACTCACCCAAGATCTTTTCCCTTTAGTGAGGTTTGTAGTCTCTGACCCCCTAGACTGTACTCCGTCTGCGGCCTTCTTGCCCTTCCCCAATCTTCATGACTTTGCACTTGGTGGATTGAACTCCAGGAGCCAATTGCTGGACCAGGTCTGCAGCCTGTCCAGATCCCTTTGTAGTTCTGCCTGGTTTCGATCGAGTGTATTCTTCTCATCAACTTCACGTCATCTGAACAGGGACACCTCAGAGTCTATTCCTTCCGTCATGTCGTTCACAAATACCAGAAACAGCACTGGTCCTAGGACTGACCCCTGCGGACCCCGCTGGTCACAGGTGCCCACTCTGACACCTCGCCACGTACCATGACTCGCTGCTGTCTTCCTGACAAGTATTCCCTGATCCATTGTAGTGCCTTCCCTGTTATCCCTGCTTGGGTCCTCCAGTTTTTGCACCAATCTCTTGTGTGGAACTGTGTCAAACCCCCTTCTTGCAGTCCAAAAAAATGCAATCCACCCACCCCTCTCTCTCTTGTCTTACTGCTGTCACCATGTCATAGAACTCCGGGTAGGTTTGTGACACAGGATTCCCGTCCCTGAAACCATGCTGGTTTGGCTGTTGATGAGATCATTCTTTCTAGGTGTTCCACCACTCTTCTCCTGATAATCTTCTCCATGATTTTGCATACTATCATGTCAGTGACACTGGTCTGTAGTTTAATGCTTTATGTCTGTCTCCTTTTTAAAGATTTTGGGAAATAAATTTGCTGTCTTCCATGCCTCAGGCAATCTCCCTGTTTCGATAGATGTATTGAATATTGTTGTAGGGGTACACATAGCGCCTCTGCTCCCTCTCTCAATACCCATGGGGAGATGTTATCTGGCCCCATTGCCTTTGAGGTATCTAGCTCACTCAGAAGCCTCTTCACTTCTTCCTCGGTTTTGTGCACTGTGTCCAGCACTTGGTGGTGTGCCCCACCTCTCCGTCTTTCTGGAGTCCCTTCGTCTCCTCTGTGAACACTTCTTTGAATCTCTTGTTGATTCTTCACATACTTCACGGTCATTTCCCGTTGTCTCTTCCTCCTTCTTCCTTAGCCTGATTTTCCTGGTCCTTGACTGTTGTTTTCCCCTGATGTGGCTGTACAACAGTTTCGGGTCAGATTTGGCTTTTGTGCTATGTCATTTTCATATTGGGCTTTGGGCCTCCCTTCTTATCTGTGCATATTCGTTTCTGCTTACGAACTGTTCTCTTATTCTCCTGGTCCTTTGCCTTCTATATTTCTTCCATTCCCCAGCACACTTGGTTTTTGCCTCCCTGCACCTTTGGGTAAACCATGGGCTCATCCTGGCTTTTTCATTACTCCTGTTACCCTTGGGTACAAACCTCTCCTCAGCCTCCTTGCATTTTGTTGCTACATATTCCATCATCTCATTAACTGGCTTCCCTGCCATTCTCTGTCCCACTGAACCCGTTCAGGTAGTTCCTCATTCCTGTGTAGTCCCCTTTCTTGTAGTTTGGCTTCATTCGTCCTGGCCTTCCTGCTTCTCCCTCCACTTGTAGCTCTACTGTGTATTCGAAGCTTAAAACCACATGGTCACTGGCCCCAAGGGGTCTTTCATATGTGATGTCCTCGATATCTGCACTACTCAAGGTGAATACTAAGTCCAGCCTTGCTGGTTCATCCTCTCCTCTCTCTCTTGTAGTGTCCCTTACGTGTTGGTACATGAAGTTCTCCAGTACCACCTCCATCATCTTAGCCCTCCATGTATCTTGGCCCCCATGTGGGTCCAAGTTCTCCCAATCGATCTCCTTGTGGTTAAAGTCACCCATGATCAGGAGCTTTGCCCTGCTTGCATGAGCTCTTCTGGCCACTCTAGCCAGTGTGTCAACCATCGCTCTATTGCTCTCGTCGTACTCTTGCCTTGGCCTCTCTGCTGTTCTGTGGTGGGTTTATACATCACTGCTATTACCACCTTGGGACCTCCAGAGTGAAGTGTTCCCACTATGTAATCACTTTCTTCTCCGCTATCCCCTCTCTCCAGCTCATCAAAATTCCAGCGATTTTTGATCAGCAACGCCACTTCTCCACCCCCCTGTTCCCTCTGTCTTTCCTCAGGATTTGGTATCCCGTTGGAAAGATGGCATCTGTTATCATACCTGTAAGCTTGGTTTCTGTGAGAGCTATGATGTCCGGTGATGCTTCTTTGACTCTTTCGTGCCACTCCTCCCACTTATTTGTTATTCCATCAGCGTTTGTGTACCATATCTTCAGTTTCCTTTCCAACACTGGGGTTTTTGGGGGGCCTGTTGAGGGTGGGAGACTGGTGGCATACTGTGGGATTCTATAGCTCAGTGTTGGGTGGAGGCTGTGGGTATGGATTGTAGTGTGTGTTGGGATGGTGTGATAGGTTGTATGGTTCTGAGAGTAGTTGTGTGTGTGCTTGCCCTTGCTGTTCTGTCCTGCTCTGACTGACCTCTGCTGGTTCCCCTCCTTGTCTCTTTTCCTAGCTCCTTTCGCTTTTTGTCCTCTCCCTCAGCTGCTGTCGTTCTGATTTTGTTCTGTCTCTGTCTAGGAACACCTCTTGTTCTCTTCCGATGTATTTCAATCGTGGTTTCTCTTGGAGGATCCTGTTCCGCACTGTTTCCGTCCTGAGAATCAGCTTGATTGGTCGTTTTCTCCCCTTCGAGTACCCCCCTATTCTCTGAAAATTTACAATCTCGTCCATCTCTTCACCTATTTCCGTGATGATTTTCTCAATCTCCTTTCTTTCTTCCTGCTTCCTTTCAGTGTGTGTCCTTTCCTCTCTCTCCTGAAGCCCATGGATAAACACTGATTTTGCCCTTTCTTCCTCCCATTGCCTCACCCTCTGTGACTCTGGATCCTGCCTGTATGTGGTCAGTTTCTCCCTTGATTTTTCCCTGGCTCTTGATAGCCTTGTTGTGCCTCAGCATTCGACCTATCACCCTGTGTGTGTGTGTGTGTGTGTTTTGTGTGTGTGTGTGTGTGTGTGTGTGTGTTTGTGTGTGTGTGCAACTAAAGGAGGCAGTTAGGGTAAGATATAATCAACTTTTGGTAGAAAGATGGGCTAGCGAGAGTATAGGCATTGAGGTTGAAGAGGTATGGGGTAGGTTTAAGAATGTAGTGTTAGAGTGTTCAGCAGAAGTTTGTGGATATAGGAAGGTGGGTGCAGGAGGGAAGAGGAGCAATTGGTGGGATGATGAGGTAAAGATGGTAATGCGAGTGTAAACATTAGCATATGAGAGGTTTTTACAAGGCAGAAGTGATATGAGGAGGGAGGAGTATATGGGGAGAAAAAGAAAAGTTAGGAGAGTGGTGAAGAAATGTAAAAGGAGAGGAAACGAGAGAGTGGTTGAATTGTTGTCAACAAATTTTGCTGAGAATAAGAAAAAGTTTTAGAGCGATATTAGTAAGTTGATAAAGCCTTTGGAACGAATGGATTTGAGAGTTAAAAATAGAAGAGGGGAGTTATTAAATGGGAAGATAGAGGGAATATTTTGAGGAACTTAAAAGTTGATGAAGATAGGGAAGCTGTGATTTCGTGTATTGAGCAGTAAGGCATAATATCTTGCAGGAGTGTGGATGAGTCAGACGTGAGTGTAGGAGAGGTGCGTGAGAAGTGGGTAGAATGAAATAGGGTAAAGCAGGTGAGATTGATGGGATCAAGACAGAAATGTTAAAAGCAGGTAGGGGATGGAGTTCTAGAATGGTTTGTTTAACTATCATATAAAACAGGGTAGCAGCCTAGGATAGGAATGGGGCGCATGACAACGTTATTTTACTACTATTCTAAGCACATTGCTCACGTATCTCATTTTGCTTAATAAAAATAACATTTCCACTCTTCCTCAAATTCATTTACCCTCCCACCCATCCTTCATTTCCTTTTACATACAAACCAACCCATTCGCTCCTATCCACTGCACCCCCCCACTTCAACCCTACCTCTGGCTCCTTCCCATTTCTTTGCCCCTACATCGATGGCTCCTTCATTTCCATGTATGCGATAGACCATCATGAGAGATAGTAATATAGCTGCTGAACCTCATAGCCTTACTGAATTTTCCCAACTCAGGTTGAACAATTTCATCACTGTGTAAAATCCATCCTGTGTGATGGAATATGCTGGGATTACAATAAATAAATACATAAATATTTTTTTATTAACCATGAATTACAGTGTGAATTACATGGAAAGCCCCTAGTTGTGCAATATATTTGGGGTAATAGGTTAGCAGCCCATTGCCGATGTATCCAGTTTTACTAAAAAAAAAAAAAGGCTTCCCTACCTCCCATCCAATAAGCCAAACTCTCTTATTCCTGCTTTCCTCCCTACTTTTCTCTCGTTTACCATCCACTTTCCTCCTTCTGTTTCTGCCATCCCACCTCCCTGCTTCCCTGCCTTCCACCAGCTCAC